CACTGAAACTTCTAATTTCCGGAACCAATATAAGTGAGGTCTTACAGTCTATATTTGAACAATCGATGACTCGCACACAATCGAATACATGGGAATCTGGATCTCTAATATGTAATTCCAAAATTTACATTGCGGCAGTAACATAATTCATCATCAGCATCACCATTAACATTATCATCGTCATTATCAGTTTGTAATGGTCTGAAAATGATTGGAGTAGTAAAAGAAAGGCTGGGGGCGTTGGGTGAGGGTACACGAGAAAATTATAAATTATAAACTCTAGTTAACTCTATATTATTAATTAAGGAATTATTTGGTAAATGAGACCAGAAGGACAGTGAACTGAAACGGAGGGAAGACGGGAGAGCGCAGCGAGTGTAAATGGGGGAAATTTAAAGTCAATATCTTAAAATATAACCGTTTAAGATATTAACTTGAGCTTTTAAAGTACTAACATTTTCAAATTTCAACTTGAACTTAATCTTGTAAGATATTAACGTAAACTTTTAAGATATGAAAGATACATTCCCACGAAAGTATTTATAGGGTAGTTATTTCCAATAGAAGTATGGCAAATTTGGTATATGAACGTAGAGACGCCCAGTCTTAGTAGAAAAATACTGGATGGGGCAGGCACTGGACAAGAATGTCAGGGTATTACTTACTGTTAATCCGACGGCTTATTGTCTGCCAGATTAACTTAGGAAGTTGTTATTATTTCTTAATCAAACAGTTAACTGGTATTTGGAACATTGAGTGGTTTAAACCATCATGATGAGATGGCAACGTTATATGTTTTATATTCATGTTCAAACGAACACGTCATGTGATCAGTTATTTGTGTATAAAACAAATGATAACCTCCATTGTTCAATTGTGGGAAGTATCCTTGCGTTAAAAAGAAATAATTATTGGGGGGTTCTCGCTGTAAATAGTATGCATCAATTGTGTTTGGAAATAAAATCAGTAACTTTTATGTGGTCGTTAATTTTAGATTTAAAGGTTTTAGCTATCAACTTCTTGTCGACATGTTGCTTACATTTTTTTCCCGAAAATAATATTTTATATTGGTGTTTTAGTGTTTAAATCCTTGCTCGTGATTGGTTATTCACGATAAACCTGGCTTATGGGTCGATTATGTTCATGAATGAGGAAAAGTATAACAACATCAATGCAGAAACCGATATAAATATATCTGCACATTTAGAAACAAAATTCATTATCGGCTTAAATCGATATTTGCATCCTCAACGGGGACACGGTGGCTAAGTGGGTAAGACGCTGGCTCGCTTGCCTGGAGGTCGTCGGGTGTTCGATCCCTGCATTGGTCGAGAAAATTCAGCCAGATTTTCCGGCTTGGTTCCCCCTTGTCCGTGATGCAGGACGGAGGGCCTGACAAGGACAGCTGTCTTGTCGTTCGGAGGTCCCGTGTACACATTGGCCTGCACGTGAAAGATCACTTGTGACAGTTGGAATTCGATATAAGATCAGGAAGTAGTGCCCCTGCCCAGGCAAAATTTCCCTCATAGCACACTGTATGGCGTATGCCCGTCTTCATTAGCACAGTTCGGAGCAGAGTAGGACGTTAAACCCTATTTCATTTCACCTAAATCCGGAATAAGACTTTATTCTGAGTTCAATTCAGATTAAACCTCCAGTGTGAACGCGCCTTTATACTCCACAACGTGGCAAAATTGTGGCAAAAATTATAACACATTTTTGCCACGTTTGAACAAAATTGCCGAACGAGGCATTCTGAGGTTTACAGTGTTAATTTAAACTTTTAAGAACTTAACTTTTTAAGATATTAAATTTTCTCCCGATGGGTCCCGATGTTTTTGCCCAAAGAAACGAAGTAGTCCCGTCAGAAATAGAACTTATTAAGCATCGGGAGTGGTCTGGTGAATGTGCACTGATGCTTAGGCTATGGTCACAAACTTCCGGGAATGCCCCGCCCCGAGCAATTGCCATGAATCATCGAGGATGGCCCCCAATAACCGGGAAAGCTCCAGGGTACCTTTGCCGATAATCAAAATCATCGGGTGAATATTCATGTCGGGAGATCTCAATCGGCGGCACATATGCCAAGGTCCTACTGGGCATTTTTTGCATCGGCGATATACTACCGACTGAAATTGATGATCCCCCGAGGCGCCCGGTGTGAAGGGAAAGTCTCGGGGTTATCATGAGCAATGTTGAACCATTAGGAGGACTCAGGAGAACTGCAAAAAATTTCAAAGCTGGCATTGAAATTTCTTCCGATGTGTTCCCGACGTTTTGTCTGGAAAACAGGCCGGGAGGGCATGCCGGCAGCTTTCCATATCGACGGGAAGCTCCGGAGATGCTTCCCTGGAGCAGTGAAGCTTCAGCGAAATATTTTGCTTCAAATATACTCAAAGGTCGCCTGATAAGTCAGCAAGACATCGCCGATGCTTCGGAGTAGTCGCGGGCCATATGAAACCATCGGGAAGCCTGGGGATAACTGCGATAAATTTCAAAGCTAGTATTGAAAATTTGCCCGATGTTTACCCGACGGGGAAGCTCCGAGATTCTTCCTTGAAGAATACTTTTTCCCCGAGGCATCCCCGATTCAAATATCCTCAAAGGTCCTCTGATACATCAGCAAGACATCGCCGATGCTTCGGTCATGCCCCGGAGCATATTTCGCGGAAGCTCCAGGGAAGCATCCCCGGAATGTCCTTGTGAATCTGGAAAGCTCTGGGGATGCCTCCCGATCTATTTTCCTGACAATGAAAGCATTGAAACTTTTCGCAGTTCTTCCGTGACCTCTGTAGCACCATGGACCTTCTGTCAGACGTGGAGAGCGGGAGATCCTAATCGATCGCCACATCATACGTACGACCCATGCATCTTTTCTTACTACATATCTTAGTAGCCTTGTTATCGTCTAGAATTTGCCTCTAGCTGTCTTTACTTCTGCTTCACGTTGTGTATTTACTTCTTACTGTTTTCTTAAGACGTTTGTCTTCTCAGTAGTTATAACAATGCAACTGTTCGTTTTTACATTTTATATATCATTTTTATAAATTTCCGTCACATTTTTTTCGACACAATCTATCCTTGAACTTAAAACCCCTTTCCTGTTATTCTCACGCTATTTCACAAACAATTAATTTGCGTTTTAAATAAACTCATACCATAGCTACTATACTGACAATAGAGAATAATTTGTAAAGATAAAATATGTTGTTTAACCGATCTTATTTCTCTATTCCTTGTCTATAAATTTAAAAACAATGTCGCAACGATGATAGTGCTACACCTCCCGATGGGTCCACGTGGCTCGCGATGCCCCAGGAGCTCCCCTAGGACACCTGAAAACCCGTTCCCGACGCCTTATATCTTTAGTACATCGGCAAGGCAAAAATTGCCCAGTGGTACCTACGCATTATATAACACTACTTGAAATTGCGCGACTTATTAATATTTCAACTGTTGATTACTCATTATTTTATGTTTATCATTTCGGCAATAATCTTATATGTTACGCCAGGTAAAAATAAGTAATATAAGTTACGCCAGAAGTAATATAATGACTAGATGGCTAGATTTTTAATATCGTGCGGGTTTAAAACGGTTAAGTTTAGATATGGTATAAATAATAACTTATTTCTCCCACGTGACCATATATGATGTGTATGGTAGACATCGGTTAACTGAGAACTTGATACACTCCGTGTCCAATAAACACTCACTGCGGACTTGATACACATAATCATATTTTTCCCTTTTCAGATCACACACACGAAAGATACACCCCAACTGTAGAATACCGCTTAACGCGGATCACCTCAGATCGACCTTAAAATCAAATGGGATATTAAATCCGGGCGTCTGAACATCGTTACAGTCCTAGATTTAGTTCAAAAAGTCCTGGGTTGAACCGAGGACGTCCTCGGTTGACACAGGTCCGTGATTAGAAGGTGTGTATTCAGATGTGTGTCATCGATATACACCATATACAAACGCACACACCCACACGCACACACACACACACACACACACACACACCTATAACTATTATCATTTGTTTGATAAAGACGGGAGTACTGTTGTCGAAACATTGCATATTTATAAACCAGTAAAGTTCTCAATAATTAAATGCCACTATGATACCGCGAAGACAGTTATCATCACTACATTTACCTAAATAATGATTATTAAAGAAGGTCTCTAGGACTTATGGCCAATAAATTTCTAGATTAGCTGGTATAAAATATATGGATGAAATATATGGCCAAATATAAAGAGGAAATTGTTAACTCTTAACCGAAAGATGCATTACCACTCCTTCCAAGAATTCGTGAATTATATATCCTATATAAAATAACCCGACTCACATATATTATAGAAATTCCAATCGCTGACTTATTTAGATATTTTGATCATTCTCACAAACGTTTACACGACTCTTAGTAAGTTGAAAGTTGACACCTGTAAACATCACAGCAAAGGCTTAACACACTGGTTTCAAATTTTGAAAAATGCCAAATGTAGCTGCATAGTCAAATCAGGTTTAATCGAAATTTTTTACCAATATCTCATTTAGACTATACTAGGAAATGTTCGGTTTTAATTTACGCAATTTAAGATTTGTTATTAATATTTCATTGCTGTGGATAACATAGCCTACATTGTACATGTTAGCGAATATCGTTTGCAAATATGCGTTCAGCAAAAATCTCAATATTCAGAGAGTAGAATATATCGATCATTTTAAAAAATTGTAAGTACAAATATATTACAAATCAATTTTTTCAGGGAAACTTTCAAATACTACGCTCTTTAAATTGCCATCATTAAAAGCGTAGTTCATCATCAACCGTTAAAGTAAAAACGTTAATGTAAAGAATACAGCGACAAGTGTAATGAATGTTGAATATATTGACTGTATTGCATTATAACATTGCATTCATTTCATAATGAAACATAAAGTCATATATCCATTTAAAGATTAATAAGAGACTAGATAGCCTTACCGTTATATAAATATACACCAAATATTCTCCGCAGAAAGAATCCACAGTTTGCTTTAGTTATTAACCAACAGTGATGATCAATACGCTCCTTATCCTTGGTCCATCGAACGTCATCTACATTAAACCCAATCCAGGCATTTATATAGGATATAGACACCAGTCCGACGATATATCGACTATAGAACTCGCTAACCACATAGATGCTGATCAAATGTGGTTCAACGATGTGTCGACTACACTACAACTTGATTGTATATGTCTGCCTATGGCATACCAAGAAATATTTGTCTTGCCGTAGTCCCCCCATCATTGTTTATTAATCAATAATCATCTTACCATCAAGTGCACTGATCGCCTGTACATTGACTCTTACACCGCACATAGATAAACACTTCTTGCATTCCTGACTTTATTCGGCACAAAGACAAGTTTTTGGTTAAAAAAAACAATAGTATCAATCTCGATTCCCTTTATATTGAGAAAAAGGAAAAAGTGTACCAAATTGCATTTATACAGGCCAGTCACTATCGCTGAAATACCTCAAAGAACATTCTCGGCCAACTCCAGGATTGTGCCCGGGACCTGCTGGTTAGTGAACAAGCGCCCCGTACTCACTGATCAGAGAGAGAGAAAAATGGGGTTTATCGTCCACTTACCACAAATTAGGTCATGCCGGGACTAACACATGGTTCAATTTTATTTCAATAATTCGCTTGCGCGTAGGGTGTCTTTAGCAGTGGGATCAAACCAGAGGACCTGGAGAAAATCCACGAGGTTGGACAGGTGACCCTGCTCCTTGTCACTTACAACCGGGGAATCGAAACCCCGCCAGTTGACTCAATGACACACCGTATGATACAGCGCGCACGTGCTAACCATTCGCCCCCCCCCCTGCCCCCCCCCCCCCCCCACACTCACTGAGCAACACACAATGAAAGGGAATCTTAAAGGAGCTAAATCGCTAATATTTGGGATCTAGAAATTGGCAAAAATGGGTCGCAACGCATATAATAATGTAATATGGATGTATATAAACTGATTTACATTTAGTCGTTTCCGTTTTTACTCTAATTTCAAATCAGTTAGTTTGGCGAAATACGCCAGAAGTGTCAATCGAATGGCAATCTCTAGCGTCTGGTTATTCCAGTCTACACCGATAGTATTTAATGCGCATGCTCTCCAGATAAGAATATGGCCTCACCGTTTGACATGACTTTCAAATGGCGCTGAAAAGCATTATGGTACACGATTCGTGTACCAATGGTAAAATGTTTATTTTGTTTTAAATATTGGATATCAGAAGTCCATCTTTTCACGAAACGATAACAACAACAATGTTGATTTAAATTGACAAATAATTCGTGTTTTCAATGTCGAAGACTTTGGATGATGTTGTGTTAGAGACTTACTCGTAGCTACTTTAAAGATGCCTTTTCAGCGTACAGACTGTGATTTGATGATATATTTGGACTAAAACATATTCAAACTCATTTATCTACCTAAACAGTTTATATGGGCGGCTTATCTGACGGCCCCATTTCACTCGCAAAGCGATACACTGTCAAAAGTGAAAATGGACATTTTTGATTTTGTCTGAATAATGAGTAATTGCTCCACAAATCCTCAGACAATCAGCTATTCGTCGTGGCATGCTCCTAATCAACGGTCCAATCACGATTTGGGGCAATCTGACCCACTCCTCTTGCAGTGCAACGGCCAATTCTTGCAGTGTTGTTGGTTGACGTTGACGTCGACGAACACGTCTCCCGATCATGTCCTAGACATGCTCGATAGGGGAAAGGTCAGGACTCATGGCTGGCCAAGGCATATGGACAATATGGTGACGCTGGAGGTAGTCATTCACGACACGAGCGCGGTGGGCACGGGCATTATCATCTTGAAAGATGAAACGTCGACCTGCACGTTGAGCAAAGGGCAGAACTATCGGTGCCAGGATGTGGTCATGGTAGTACACACCAGTGACCCTTCCTCGAATAATATGCAAGTCTGTTCTGCCAGTCATGGTGACTCATCTGAGAACATTACACGTGCCCATCGACGATAACCCCAATTTCTACGCTGCCTGCACCATTGACGCCTGTTTGCCATGTGCTGGCGAGTTAATGGATGCACAACACGCGGTCGTCGCGCATGCAAATGGGGCTGCATATAGCCGATTTCTAATCGTTTGGGGTGTAACTCGAAATCCTGTAACTTGGTACAAGTTTACAGAAAGCTGATTGGCCGTTTGTCCTCGATTTCGCAGGACCTGTGTACGAATGTATCGATCCTGGGCTTGTGTAGTGGCTCTAGGACGACCTGGACGAGGTCTATCATCAACATTGTGTGTTTGTTGGTACCGGTTCGACAGTCTGCTGATCACCTGAATCCTGAATCCCAAACAAGCAATTAATCGTCGCAGGGTATGGGGACCTGGAAAATTTTGAAAACGTAAACGCCACAAACGCGTTTTTCTGTATAAGCAACTTCAAAGTTTACAGTCAGTTTGCAACCGAAATCCCACGCTATGAATGCAGCTGCATTAATAATAATCAATGCCTGAAAAATGTCACACAAAGTGAGATTGCCCGAAAGTGTGTGTGTGAGAGAGAGAGAGAGAGAGAGAGAGAGAGAGAGAGAATGGGGTTTAACGTCCACTCGACACAAACTAGGTCATTTCGGGACTAACATATGGTTTAATTTTATTTCAATAATTCGCATCCGCGCAGGGGTCTTTAGCAGTGGGAGGAAACCCGAGGACCCGGAGAAAACCCACGAGGTTGGACAGGCGACCCTACTCCTTGTCACGTACAACCGGGGATTCGAAACCACGCCAGTCGACTCAATGACAGACTGTATGATACAGCGCGCACGATAACCATTCAGCCATCCCCCCCCCCCCTCCCTGCCCGAAAGTACACCATGTATTAATTAGGTTGGCGCAAAATATAAATGGTGCAGTTCGACTATTTTGACACTCTGGCACAAAAGACTAGCTTAATTAGTAGGTTATTTTTTTTTTTTAAATATGTATTTTGTTTCGTTTCTAAATCCTTTTATGTTCCAAAATTGCAGTCAACCAGCGGCTTAGTGAAGGGCGTAAAATGGCGGGCTTTGCGGTATGGATTTAAGTTTCTGTGCCCCGTAGGTTCTTTTTTATCATGCACTGACATAATATTTAGGATACTGAAAACGTCAATAAATTTAAACTATTGATAATGTATTTGTTGCTGAAGAAGCAAACTTTACGCGTATGGATTTTCACCGATTTCAAAAGCTGTAAAAATCCAGATAAAGCAGCAGAGGCTTTATTCTAACATTTATCAAATTTTGAAATAGGTTCATTTAAACATTAGTTCTATGCCCAGGTCTACAAACTAAATCAATTAACGGTGAGTCTAACGTAATTAAAGACTGAGGTTTTGTATTTATTATGTCGGAAAGGAACGGATATTTTGCATTTCGTATGTTCTCAATATAAATATAAATGCACTACTTTTACCGCTAAAAATAACACGTACAGGCCATATAGCTTCAACAGTAATGCGTCCTACTGAAAGAATCCGTATAATAGGCCTACACGTTAATAATGGTTCGGGATTATGTATTGGTACAAGCAACCTAAAGAATAAATGTCAGACATATTTTAGTTTTTAAAAAAATGGTTAATTCAGTGCCAAATAACTCCAGTGGGCTCATTGGCTCGTGAGACATCTGATCTGATAATATTTCCAAGAAATTCATGCGAATTGGCAACAAATTTCAAAACTCAATGTTGTTGCAGTAGGGCGTCGTAATCAATCCGATCTCAGATTACCATGTTCCGAATCCCAATCAGGGCCGTTTGGAATTTCTTTTAAGTCTAGTCTTCACTTATTTCACTAGTCATTCGGTGAACATCCGAACCCACAAGCAAAATTTCCTTTGACAGTTGTAAACCCAAGAAGACAAGTTACCGTGTGCTAGTCTCAAATGACAGAAACCTTGTGTCGTTTAGTCTCTATCATCCAGAAAAATATTCTACGAATATTAGTCTGGATGCGTGGTCACAATCTGTTTTACAGACCTAATGCGACATCCGTCTTTTATCTCTGTCCAAGATGACTGACCTTTAAAAGGTCAGACCGCTGTAGTTCTAAGGGTGACGTCACATCACAATGTTTACCAACAAAGCAAGATGGCATCGATAACGCCAAAAAAGATTACTTCTGTGGCTTGTTTTTGTTGTTTTAAAACAAACACGAGCAGGTCAATCAGATTAGACAGTAAAAAATGTACTTCTGAAAAAATTCAGAGTAAACAAACAGAAAAAAACCGTCAATTTGATGGTCACACGTGCGTTGTTTACATTGAACGTAGTAATATGAACTGGTACGGGCAAAATTATATCGTTTTACCCATTTTACGCCTCCGCGTACTATTTTCTGTACCTATTTACGCTAAATATGGAATATTTTTTATCAAGATATACTTCAAACACCTTTATTTATTTTTCTAATACTAAAAAAAAATGTTTCAGAATTGAATTTGTCGAAAGAAAAAAGTTAATATTTTGTAGTCATTAAGTCGCATCGATGTCATCCTTATCAGTGATTGTAGCGGCCAAGCGAATATTCACTGCGGATCAGTGTGGCGTGGTCAACATATGAAAAAATAGGTCATTGACTAGATTATCCGGTCTTTTACATTATCATAAACAAAGTCTAAGGGAGGTAACTAGTCCTAAAACAAGATGTTGACTCCCATGAAATTAATTCAAGAATGTCATTTCAAAAAATCCATTTGATTGCATGCCAGTTCAATATCCAACACTTATCTTTTTTGATGAAAAATTTCTCTCTTCATGGGCCATATCTATATATGTTTTTAAAATTAATCCTAATTCGTCGTCTCGATTCATGTTTGTTTATATCATGATATAAGGTCCATGTTTATAATGCGAGAATTATGGAATTTATTGCGGGAAGGGGTGCAACTCTTACTTGACTTGGCCAGAAGATACTGGATAATCTACCACATTTAAAACCAAATTCCCGGTTACGCATGGGCAATGGACTGTTCTTCAAATCCAGACCATCCGTACCAACGACGTATATATATTAACATGCGTCATTGCTCCGTACGTTGAAGACTGAGAGGTTCTGGGTGACCGAGACTATGACAATGTGTCGTCATTCCATTCAGGAAATAGATATATATGTAAACTCGCACTACATATAAACAACTTCCCCGCTTTAAGCTGGG